TTGAAGGGAACGAACTGGTTTCTATCTGATTAATCGACGTGTCCAATACACAATCCAACAGCCACTAGCCATATAATACACATTTCAACACGAAATAAACAAATGTCTTTGTCTAGAGTTGAACCACGTTGTTCTGTGGACTTTTTGATGTGGTTTGAAAGTATCTAAAACTACAATTTTTTATCTACATTATACTACATATTAAAAGAGGTATCGATATTTGAACATTCCTTTTTGTAAGAACTGTCCTAAAATATGTAAAAACTGACATCTTCAAATAATAATGTTTATGCGACATTGCTGTCGGTGCGCAATAGCGGGATCACTCCGTACTTTACTGATAGGGGTACCGTGTATGGGTGCGCATAATGAACAATTTAATCATTTCAATCGGCCTGACAAAAGAAAGCACAGGTTCGAATTATTCCAACCAGTAAAGTCATATAAAACAGTAACGTTGTTTTTTTCCTTAGATTTATCCTCACATAGGATAAGCGTTGTTTTCAAATACGTTATATCTTCGTGCCTTCAACTTTGCTAATACATATTCCAGGGGTCTAGAGAGCGAAAGTGAGCGTAACCCCTGGATATCGGGGATACGTTCACTACTGCTGTACTACAAGGAATTCTAATAAATATAATGTCACATTTGTATAGTTCGTGATGACATATTCTTGGCACGAGTTAATATAAGTCGAGATAGTTTTGTCCCGAAAATGTTCTCGGTTAGTCGACTTGTCGTTTAAAAAAAGTCGAGTTATTGGGATAATTATCATGATAGCGATATATGTTCATAATCATTTTCATGGTAATTATCTAGTTAGCTTTAATAGTATAATAATACATAGTATAATAATACAATTAGCAGCATAGTAATTCTGTAGAAACTCACTGTCATCAAGCAGTATCACCCTTACTAGCTCAAAGATATATAAATACTTAGGCGAGGTTTAAAAGGCTGTAAAATTTACTTACCGCAGACATTTGGCAACATGCATCACTCGAGTCTAAAAATTAGATAGGAAATTATGATTCTCGTTTGTCTGATCCTAGTTTATCTGACAAAGCTAGAATCTCCTTGTTCAATAGAAAGGTGTTACATTGTGAATAGTTGTAATCCGACTGGTTTTACTCTGCTATGGTGACTGCACTAGACCAGGGACTATGGCAAGCCGTTTTAACATTTAATCATATTTCATCTTAAGGTAAATTTTACGCCAATGTTTTGTTCACTTAAGTGAAATTCGTTTTACCTTAAGGGTAAATAAACGTGTTTTTTTGCATAAATTTTAACTACCTGAAGAGGAAATCTTTTTCACTTAAGTGAATTGTTTTTTCACTTAAGTGAAATAAAACATAATGCAAATAAATAGTTTGTTCTCTCCTATGTCCCAAATTGGACTAGTCCACTTATTACCAGTCAGTGTGCGTTTTACTTTCGACCAATCACAGCCGTCTTCTCTATTTTACTGTGGTTGTTAGTATAAACAATATGGCGGCCGTGTTAAAACCGAGCGATATGAGTGTGATCGAGTTAAACACAGAATGGATGCTGCGGTGGTTGTTCAGAATGCGATCGAAGCTGTGGAACGTGCCAACCAAAGAACAAGCACGATTGTTGAAGAGACCAGAAGAGTATTTAGAAGAAGACAGCGAAGAGTTGGTGGTAAGTTCCTTTTTATTAATATATAGAGTAAACCTACAGTACAGTTTATGTGCATATCATGAATGGTATTGGGGTTTTAAATTAACTGAGATGTGAACAATTCCTGAACATATTTATCTGGTATTATGCATAACATTTCAGGAACAGTTGGAAACTTTCTATGCATTGTTGAATGTTTATTGCAGTATGTCATCGTTTATATAAGTACTATAACTATGTAAAAATACATGATTATTACCCATATATATATAAGTGTGGGATTAAGCTAGCCTCTGATGACGAGACATTTTGCCTGGGTACAGATCGAGGCAGGGAATTAAAATATACGTTACATGTAGTAGCTAGGCCTGTACATTTGGGATTGTGCCCCATGCCGATTTATTGATTTGCATCGATTTTTTTCGGTCATAATAAAGGAAAAGAAACTCAACAAAGCACAGTTATATGAAATGAAATTAAAAAAAACAATTACTCACCTGGCACAGATGAAATCGTGTTTGTAGGGACAGATGCTGTGTTTGCCACCACGACAATCAGATCTAGTACTGCGGATCTGACCACCGCGAACTGGTTTTCCGATGAAGATATGAGTTCAATGTTGCCCAAAGAATGTCTCAATAGTCCAGCAAAGTAAAGTTGGAAAGTTATTCGTTATTCGTTATTCGTTATTCGGAATAACGAATAACT